ATTACTCTTCAAATTGCAAATATAGTCATCGAACCCAACACAGTATTACTCGATATGGTTCCAACTCCATTCAATCCTCATCAAGAAGCCGATGATGATAAAGATGATATCATCTATCCAGAAGGTGTTGAAGAGCATCATCCATATCAAACTGTAGCTCGTTATCGAAGAGCCATTGGAGAATCGACCAATTTTCGTGTAAAACCACTCCTTGTTGGTGAAGACTCAGTAGAAACACTTGTGCTAGGATTGGAAAACTTTGCTCGGCAAAAAAACTGTACTTTGACTTTTGCAGGTGAAGATCAACAGTTCAGCAATAGTATTTACCGCGCAGCAGCTGGTCTGGTTGATATAGGTAGTATTCATCTTTTAGCGGCTGATTCTTTACTTACGGCTAACTTTGAATTCGGAATCGATCTTACTTATGATCCAGAGATTTTTCAATCAGAAGATCATATACAAAAATTTGTACAAGACTTTTGTGAAGCTATTTCCAATGCAGTTTCTTGTGATAACAGTAATGTTCGCGTGTTTTCTATCAACAAAATAGCTGATGAAGAAGGAAAAGGTCAAGTAAACTTTGGTTTAACTACACCAGAACCAAAGAGAACTGAAGAGTTGGCTCATGATCTAAAGGTAAATTGCTGGAGGTTTCTTTTCACTGGAAGTATGTTTCGGCAAATTTATATCTAGCATATATATTCATTCTAATTAAATGATTAGTGAAGAACGGGGTTCCGAAATTTCGCCAATAAGACTTTCACCAATAGGACTTTCGCCATTGGAGAAAGTCCACTGTACTCTCGCCAATACATTCCCTGGAACTTAGCCAATTGGCGAAAGTCTACTGTACTTTCGCCATTGGCGCATGTCTTATTGGCGAAAGTCTTATTGGCGAACATCCCGCCATCCTGAAGAACTTGCATAGTTCAGCATGGAAAAACTACGATGATGTTCGTTTCTTTCACATTATTTGTTTCAGAAAATTCAACTTTCGTCAAATTTATTGATTTTGTGGTTTATAGCTCGTTCAATACGACATGTTGTCCAAACTCAAATACACTGAATTTTATAACTTTTATAATGACATCAAGGGACATTAAATAAATTTTTGAGTCTTCATACTGAAGAAAATACCAGTTTTCGAACAGCTTCGATTTCTAATACTTTTAAAGCTTGTCTCTTGGCTTTTTCGATGTCAAGGGTATTATTATCATGAAATACCAATCATGATGAACGAATAGAAAACTAGGATATAATAAAAGGTCAAATGGCATGAAGATGTGAGTACGGATGCATTTCAAGAAAAGATTCATACTCACACCCACACCACTAGACCCTTCAGAACATCAGTATTCTTTCATATTTGCCAGTAAAAAGGGAAATAAAGATTTTTTATGTATATTGAACAAAAACAAAAGTTTTATCTTATTGAATAGCAGTATAAGCTGCACTCAGCAACTTCTTCTGTTTCTTCTCTAGATTTATGCGAGTTCTGGCTTTGGAACTGACACGATTCTTCAATATGTTAAACCAGCCGAATATGAATGTATTTGGAAACCGGCTCTTAACTATTTACAAATAAGACCCAGTGATTTAGATCCTCAATTCAACTTTGACTATAGGCAACCTGATCTACCTAAAGAAGAGACGCGAGGAAGTTATCCATATTATTGTCCACTTGGCTGGTTTTGTCATGCACTCAAAGTTCTCGATAAATATGATAAAGACGTTACTTGGATTGGTTGTATAAACGCTGAAGGAGAATGGCCTGTTGCTTTTCATGGAACACATTCTGGTGCAGTTAGTAGTATAGTACAACGGGGTCTATCCCCAGGTGCTGCCAAAACTGATGTTATGATAGGTGAAGCGATTGAACAAATAGATGAAGAAGCAAATCGTCCAGGTCTTTATGTAGCAACACATTGTGAAGGAGGATCGTATCCTCAATATACTGTACCGTTCACTGTGACTACATTTCCTGATAAGAGCGAGCAATTCAGTATGGTTTTTCAATGTCGAGTACAACCTGGCAAGTTTACAACTCATACAAGTCCTGTTAGTGTAGGTGAAGCATGGCGTATTGTTGATCCTAATTCGATACGACCATATGGGATTTTACTCAAAAAAGAACGGCCAACCGAAGAAGAAGTAGAAAGTTCAACTGAAGAGAAAGTGAAAAGTTCATCCGAGAACAATGTAGCAGATTCAACCAAACAAAACGAAGATAATACAACCGAAACAAAGCAAGAAGATTCAACCGACGAAGTACAAGAAACTTCAGAATAAAACAGTTCGATATGTATTAAATTAAAATTTGGTGAATTCATCTATGTTTTTTTTTGACCTATTTTCCAACTGAATGCATTCAAAATAAATATGTATTCGAATAGTTGGTTCTCTTTTTTCTTTGTCTCATGCAAGTAAATTCTAGTGATGAAATAGATACCATGTGGTCAAATGAAAATTGAAAACAAAAAAGACATTTTCGTGTGGATGCAAGTTTTTTGATGGACTATTTGTAAATATTCATAATAAGCAATAGAGTTTCGCTTTTCCTCGTTTTCTTGAAAGCTGATGCTCTCTTTACTTAAACAATCAGGATAATTTTGCCAAATGGTGTTGATTACTGTGAGAATTGGTACCGATAACTGAGGAAAACGAGTCTGACTAGGAATAAAAAACAATTTTAGTTGCACTTTTTCTGTTTTTGCAATCGATCTGTTTTTGTTTTTGTTTTTATTGCGCAAGGATAGTCTTCAAAACATACCTGGATGTCAATTTTATGTTCGTTAAGAAATTGATGGTGGCAATGTCTCTATGACAAGTGCAAAATGTCATAGTGAATATTTAAGATAAATGATTGCATCAAAATAGAAGAAACTTTCATTACAAACGACTTGTTGTTTTTTAATTGAACTGAATATATAAAAAGTAACAAACTATAGACGAGCGATGTTCTATTGGCTCATTTTATCAGACAGATGATTTGATCGTTAGCTCGAAAAATTTCACCATAATCATTATGCACCATGAAAGTTTTATTTCTGACATAGTGTATTCAAAGGACAATAATACTTTTGAAAAAATCATATAAAACCACTTAAGAGCTACAGATAAGATATCTAAAGCAGTAAATCGAAGTAAAATGATGACGTAGCTGGTGAAACAGCATGTAGTCTTCTTAGAATATTAGCAGAAAACATTGTAGAAGTAAAAACAAAAGCAAGCTTATTTTTGGATTACTTTTTCATAATTATTGATTTATAAGCTACAAAAACGAAGGATTGAGTCACTGTGGTTTTACTGTGAATATGTGAAGTCTTTCTATCTTTTCACAGAAGCATTTGAATATGTTATTCATTCGCAAGAAATATATCACAATTGTTGTACCTAATAATTCTTTTATAACAGATAAAATAATATCGTATGCAATACATTAATGCGAAGCTCATGCATGAATAGAGAATAGTTGACTAATTGATCTGTTCTTATCAACATGTTTCCTTATGTATAAAACATATTCATAAGAAATCATCTTATTCCTAGAGAGTTGCTTTTGTTCTTTCCGGAAGAAATCATCTGTACGATACAAACATATTGTATCAAAGACAAAAAGTTTATAAGAACGAGCATTAGATCGAAAGTTATTCATGTTGCTTATCAAGGAGTGCTGAATGGATGTGGGTGTGGGTTTGAATGAAGAGAATATTAACATCTACAGTGCCGGACAAAAGTTTAGAACTTCTTTTTTCTCGTCGTTTTCCTGAACGATAAGCGATCCAGATTTGATTTAAGATGTGATATAGATAGTATGAACAACGGGCTATAAGATGTACTATGGGGCGTGGCTAGATCTTTTTGTCCTGGGTTTTGAAAATCAAAAGCAGACTTTTACATGAGAAAGCGTTTTTTGTGTCATTGTGCGTATTTCGCTTTTCCCAATCAAGAAATTTTCGTCAAAAAAATTCAAACTATGGTAGGTCGACAGAGAATTTTGCAGGCTATCCATTGCTAAAATGACTTTCAGCTTTTGATCCTGTCTTCACTCCCTAAAATCCATTTTACTAAAAACGCCAGTAAAGGCCCGAACAAGAACGGTTTACTCTCGCAAAGTAAATTCTAATCAAATGTGTTATACACCAAAAGATAGAGTGTATAAAACTGCATTAGACTAGTCACTTCGTTGTTTTCTTTTCAAATTGCGTAATACGATTATCAAAATAGACGATGGAAGAACGATTTCGGGAACATTCGCTTCTAATGTTCAATGGCATTTAAGAACGTTAAAGAACTTGAAAAAAATGAAGTAAAACAATCGTTGAAAGCAAACAAAGAAGATGAAAAGAAAAGAGGCAAAAATAAATTATGGAAAATGATCGGCACGATACAGCGTATATCATATAGTGATAAACAAAGAATATTTCGCTCGTTGTTTAACAGAATTTAACATCCAGTAGGGTCAGCTGTAAGAAATACATTTGATACACTATTTAGATGATATATTCTCTCATCTAATGAGAACATCCTCTGTCTTATTTTATCTAGAAGATATCATAATACTTCGCTTATGAATTACAGTCAATGGAAACCAACATTAATGTGTCACTGAAGTCAGTATGTCTGATTCACCAGTGACGCCGAGGATGTCAGTGCATCAGTGACACTGAACCTATCGGTGTGCACTGGATGTCACTGTCGGTGTCAATCAGTGTTCAGTAATCTGACACCGCACATCCCTAATGAATGCTATAAACTACTGGCTATCTAATCTGAACATATCGAAATAATGATCAAAAATGAAGTCGAGAAATATTGCTATTAGAGACGGAATGCAATCGCTATAATGGAGAAACTCTTTAAAAAAAACCATATTTTATATGTTTTGACAATGATGAAAACAAACACTTACCTATTTAAAATAATTTTATGTTCATATCGATTCCATCTTCCTGCTGTAAAAATGCTACTGGTCATCATACTATCTATTGATTGTATGTATCAAATCCTTAAAAGAAAATATATTTTTTTGATATTCATCACTTTGTATGAGATATAGTTTGAACTGTTTCATGACAGGCAATTTTTTGCTGCTGATATGGCGTATAGTTTTAGAAATTTCCTGAATTCAATACTAAAAGGTTGCTATAGTCCTTGCTATTTAGTATTGATACATCCAGTTTTCGACTCTCTTTAATTTGGTATAAAATTTGTTGTTGATGTTATTTGAAATAATAACGTTACCCATCCTATACTTTACAACAAACTATATTAGAACAAATTTTTATTTCTATACAAAATTTGAATGCATAATAATTATTTCAACATTGAGGCTATTTTCTATTCTTTTCAAATAAATAATTTCGATTACAATACTTAACTTCTATATAATGGCCTCACACAGTAAACTCACAAAAGTTTGGCCACCAGGTAAAAAGTATTCTAAACTGTAATCCTTTAGTATCATAGTTTGACTATACTTAGATAGGGGTGGGAAGTTACCGTTACCCGGGAGTTACGTTACCGGGTAACTAGTAACTTTTGAGTTACTAGTTACCGACTAACTAGTAACGCCGGAGTTACCAGTTACCAGGTAACTAGTAACTTCGAAGTTACTAGTTACTTTTGGTAGGTAACTTGTCTAAAAAGTCGAGATATCGCTTCCTAATGACTGAATATCATCTATTCATCACTCAATTAAATTACGAGTTACTTGGTAACTAGTAACTCCTATGTGCGTTACTAGTTACTCGGTAACTCGTGAGCTGAATAAGTACTGTAATGATGGTATTCACTCATTAGGAAGCGATATCTCCACTTTTTAGACAAGTTACCTACCAAAAGTAACTAGTAACTCCGAAGTTACTAGTTACCGGGTAACTGGTAACTCCGACGTTACTAGTTACTCGGTAACTAGTAACTTGCGAGTTACTAGTTACTTGGTAACGTAACGGTAACTTCCCACCCCTATACTTAGAGCATGTTGAACTCTAATACAAGAACAAATTTAGTTTTTAGTCTCCTTTTCCAAACAAATTAAATAAAAATGAAACGCTTTATTTATACAAAGAATGTTTTTCCAAGACCAATCTTAAGAATTTCAAATTTATTAATTAAGCTGATGACTTATACTTAAATGTTTGTTTCTATAAAGATAGAAAAGTATGAAATATCTTACCTTGAAAACATTTGTTATTAATACTTTTGCCTATTTCATATAACCAACAGTAGTTATAATAAATTGCTTTCCATTTATTTATTTTGATGAATGCTCGAAGAAAATGTTTCTTTTCAGAAAAACGAGAAGTGCCACTAAGAAATTTTTTCTTTAATTTCAACAAAGACTTCATATCTTGTTAGCGCATTTCAAAAAGTACCTTGAGCTTTGCGTAGTAGATATAATGAACAACTTTTAAAAACACTTTTGATAATCTTACAAGCATTTTAGAATTAAAGGAGTAATATATCCTTGATACAGGTAATATTTTTCTGCATTTTTTTACTTTCTAATTTACTTACATGACAATATATTCCATATTTCTAATATACAAAATATGAAAATTCAGTTACATAGTGATGAGTCTTTGTGTTCTAATGGCTTTTCATAATTATTAAAAAAAAGTAGATGAATATAAAACTCTACGTGAAATTCCGTATTATTTTAAAACATCGATGGTATACTACTTTCGTGAAGAACTAGTTATTTTCTATACATAGCTGCAATCAATAAGAAGATCGTCAGAAATACGATGAAACAAAGAAGAACAATGTTCTCCATATTAATCTTTACAAATATTGATTTCTCTTATTTATTGTGAAATATTTCGTTTCGGATTTCTTTCATACTTATATGTAGATTCATTGCTAACAAAATCTTTTTGACATTTAATCCAATCGATCCGTTAGGAACTGTTGTAAATAGCAGGAATTATTGAATACAAATACATGAAAATACGATTCGTATAAATAATTGCATGAGAATGTTTGACATGATAACATTATTTCTCAATAAAACAATTAAAATCGCTCAAGACTGATTATTGTAAATAGTCTCTTGCTAATACAATAAAAAACAGTTGTGTGTTCATGTGTAACAGTCAGCATCTTCTTAAGTTGTATATTTAAATCAGAGTTCGACTCGAATCGGATCCGGTTACGACAAACTGACTTACATAGGCAGTGGTATAAATAATACATGAAAGTGATAACGTAACCATCTCAGTACGCATTTGTGAAATCTAAGATTAGGCCCAGTCATATTGTAGCAAGGTTTCGACTTGCATTCCTGA